CCCCGCAGCGAGGCTTAGGAGGGATTTCCAGGTCTGGTTTTCTCGGGGCAAAGGAGAGGTTGAGAGGTAACGGTCTTGGAGGGAAAAGGAGGGATGGATATGTGGGTACGTCAGTGAGAAAGTGCTCTGGCTGGCAGCAGGGCTCAAAGGGCGATTGCAGCAAATGACCTTCACCACTGTCATTTCGCATCAGCGTGGGGAACGTGGCCCTTCAGCCGAGGGGTGAGCTGGGGATGCTTTCCCGCGGGATGCAGTAGAAGAGGTTATTGCCACAGGAATCAAAACTGTTTGGAGCATGAGATGGGGTTGGGTGTAGGTGATGGGGGATGAACCTCCTCCCAGGGTCGCAGAGGGGAGCTGAGACTGTTGGGCGCAAGGTTTCATTGACTTTCGGCACAGCTCGGTGCAGGAGGACCTGCGAGGGACCTTCCAGCAGGAGGTGGGCAAGCTGGAGCAGGAGGTGGCAGCGCTGAGGAGGGAGCTGGCTGGCCTCAAGTCAGACCAGGAGGTGATGGGGAAGCACGTGGAGGGGATGCTGGAGCAGCTGAAGGCGGTGCGGGCTGACGTGAGTTCCCCGGTCCCCACCCTGTTTGGCACAGCTCGGTGCAGGAGGACCTGCGAGGGACCTTCCAGCAGGAGGTGGGCAAGCTGGAGCAGGAGGTGGCAGCGCTGAGGAGGGAGCTGGCTGGCCTCAAGTCAGACCAGGAGGTGATGGGGAAGCACGTGGAGGGGATGCTGGAGCAGCTGAAGGCGGTGCGGGCTGACGTGAGTTCCCCGGTCCCCACCCTGTTTGGCAGAGGGAGACGCGAAGGTCCCTGACCCGGGGCTGAGTTCTGTGCCCAACATTTCAGGTGGAAGCGCAGTTCCCAGCGTGGATCAGCCGGTTCCTGTCGCAGCCCCAGCAGGATGGTGCCACCAGCCTTGTCCTCCAGCGGGAAGATTTGCAAGCGGAGCTCCAGGCTCTGGAGCGCAAGATCCTGGCCAGAGTCCTGGAGGACAGGAGGCTGTCAGCACGGGATGCTCAGGCCGGCATGAGAGTGGCCCTGCAGCAAGGGGGGACTGCAGGGGTGACAGAGGAGGTGAGATCTGGCCTGAGCCCCAGGGACATGGTGGTGGCCACAGGCATGGGGTTGTGGGGTGTTGGGGGGAGCTGGCACAAGTGCCTGTCAGCTGGCTGAGCCATGGGGACAGCCATTACAGCTGGGACATGGATCCTGGGCTCACATCCCACGTGGCAAGAGCATCCCTGAAACTCCTCCATCCCTTTGCTGCCACCAGCCTCCCCTGGGCTGTACCTGCGCCCTGCCTGGGCTGGGGTCACAGGTGGCAACACCCGCACGCCTGCGAGGCACTTGCTGTCTTAAAATCTGAGTTTCTGCTCGTGTATCTTGCACCAGCCGGGCTTCTGGGTGACAATGGGGTGAGCATCTTGCTTACCCTGTCCTTTAGCAGCACCGCTGAGTCATTTGGGGCAAAGCATTTCAGCAGAATGACACCAAGGGAAAAAATGAGCCTGCTTGCTTTGGAAAGAGTTGCTGGCAATTCCCTGTGGAGGTAGTGGAGGGAGGGATCAAGCTGGGATTAGCAGTCTCTGCAGTCTGCGCAAGCTTAGTGCACGCCGTAAAGTTCAAACCCACAGTGGTGCTGCAGGGTCCCAGCTCCTGGGGCTGGGTTTGGCTCCAGGAGGGTGCTTTGTCTGGCTCCCCCTTTTCTGGATGGGGGGAGCTGCCGTCAACCCTATGGAATGGGGCAGGAGGATGCTGGGGAGGACTGGGTGGGCTGTCAAGTTGTGTCTGGTACCTGCTGGGGGATGCCCCTCCTGCCCTGGGGCCAGCCCCTCTTTTGGGATGGGGATGGGTGAGCCCAGCGTGCCTGGGTGCTGCCCCTTCATCGCACAGCTCCTCTCGTCTGGGGTATTTTTAGCAACCTCTAATGAGGCTTCCCAGCCAAATGCGTGTCGTCCTGGTTTTGTCACGGTGATTCATCCCCGGGCTGTTTTGTGGGAAGGTCCTTGTGCCCTCTCCATCCCCGCAGGGTGGAGGTGGGTGGGGGGCAGGACGCCCGCCCCTGGCCCTTCACCCCTCTCGTGCCCTCTGCTCCCGCTGCAGCAAGTGCATCTCATCGTGGGCCAGGCCCTGAGGCGCTACAGCGAGGACCGCGTGGGGATGGTTGACTACGCCCTGGAGTCGGCAGGTAGGTGGTAGTGGGCTCTCCTCCACCCAGGATGAGCCAGCCATCCTGGGGAGGGGACCCCGGGGTGCTGGCACGCACCTTACCTGCCGCCGTCCCCTCCCCGTACCAGGGGCCAGCGTCATCAACACCCGCTGCTCGGAGACCTACGAGACGCGGACGGCGCTGCTGAGCTTGTTCGGCATCCCCCTGTGGTACCACTCGCAGTCCCCCCGTGTCATCCTGCAGGTGG